CAAAGCAGAATTATATGAAGTAGAGGTCCTCTTTTCTTTACGCCCTCTAGCACACTGCCCAGAAAGATTCATTACTGGTGTTTATCCTTCCGGACACGTTCTATGCATATGCAACCACACGAATACATTGATAATATATGAGTTGCTTTATAATAAAGATATACATATATCTTCATTTTAACAGCTGTGATAAAATGCGTGAGTCTTGCCCACGTTCCTCAATGGCAAACACTGAACTTGGTATTTTCTGATGACTCAGGCTTATCTATAGCAATGATTTAGAGCCTGTAGCTCCCTGGAATCCTGTGATGCCCTCCCAAACTGCAAGTTGGGAAACATCCTTCTTCTAGTAATGACAGAGAGTACTGTATTTTTCCTGTATGTGCTTTTAGCATGTCTCTAACTCCTGCTAAGCTACCACTTAATTGCTTTTCGCTGCTCTTAGTTCACTTGTTTCTTTCCTCCAAACAATGTCTCTAATTTATTATGTTTGCAAGTTAGATTACCATGCTTGCCAGCTATGTGTATAAAGTAAGGGTGAAGAAGTTCTAAGACAAGACTTCTGAAGATCTTCTCTAAATGACATCATGTGCCTTTGGTCACGGCTCTGAGATCTGTGAGTACCCTGCGGAAGACTTCCATTCGGGCTGCTGAGACCAGCCAATACTGCCCAGACCGTAAGTGTCCCTCCTGGCATTGGGCTTGGCACCAAATCAGAGGGTGTCTCTGGTTGGCAGAGACTGGAAAAATTCACCTCTGACCTAAAAAAAAAAACCTTAGAAAAACACCAAAAGTAAACTAATAGTTACAGGGTTGCGTAAATGTTGAAGTCCCATGAATTGTGAAAGTAACCAAGAACCTTCCGCTTCAACATTCGACATATTGAAGGCAAAAGAAAATACCAGGGTGGGTGTAGGGGAGAAAGCCCTGTCAGTAGCTTTGAGCTGCCTCATTTTTTTAATGGAAAAATTGTTACAAATGGGTTCTTCAGCATATGTTATTAATTTCATTATTCTGGCTTCTTGCCAGCTAAGCATCAAGCCCTGGTTTTTGTGATTTCAGTTGCAACTAGTAAAAGTCATGTGGGCGTTAACAGAAACAGACAAGAGAACTTTTAAAAAAATCAACTCCAAGTGACTATTTGAAAGGCTTTTATTTCACAAAACTAGTTGGAACATTTGTTTTTGTTGATGAGAAAATTATGCTTTCCTAAAATATGGTATTTCCAGCCCTATTTGAAGGACTTTGAATGTTCTTACAGGTAAAAAATATTTAAGTAACGTTTTAAAATTTCAGATTTTTTCCCCCACTGCACTACATAGTTATATATATATATATAAAATGAAGGCAATAAACACAAACATGCTTTTCCCTAAAGGAAGACATTGTGGTAAAGCTCTATAAACAGAACGCCAAATTTAATATTAAAATGGAAAGGTTTTATATTATACCTTTTGAGATAATATTATTTTATTATGAAAAGTCATCATCCAAGTCATACAAAAATACTCACGGATTAGCATCTTCCTCATCTTTAAACTGGCAGCTGTAAACCAGGTGCCTTAATAATACTAGTTGCTGCCTATCCGGCACTCATTATGCACCAGGCAATGCGTTAAGCATTTTCGTAGTCTTTTTTAAGCAATCCCTACAAACCTTTGATCAGATATTTCCATCTTCAATCACAAATGAGAAACTAAAATCAGAGAGAGTATGTCTTGCCTCAAGTCCTATTACTGATAAATGTGAATGGGGGATTCACATCCATGCAGGCATCTGACTCTCAAAGCCAAGGTGGCCCACCGTCCCAGTTTGTCAGAGATTGGGGGTTGCATGGGATGAGGGGTTTGGGGTTCTAAGGCTGGAAAATTCCAAAGTAACTGGAGATAAGTTGCTCACCCAGACAGAACCTGCCACGCACCCTCCCCTCTCTCTGCCCTGCTCCTCGTGCTCTCTCACTTCAAAGTCCACCCATTGCCTCCATTTTCCAGTCTTTCTTTCTTTCTCTAAATCCTGAGCAATAGTCCTCATACTACTTTATGTCTTTAAATTTAAAAATCCTCCTAAGAACATAAGGCATTTGAAATGGGTCTATCCATTTCACAGGTGCATTCATTCATTTATTCACCAATTATCTATCGAATGCCCTCTGTGTACCAGGCACAGGGGTTACAGTGGCAGACAGGACAAAGTCATTGTTGTGGAGCTTACGTTGACATGACGGGGGAACGGATTCAGAAACAAATGAGTATATGGTACATTTTTTAGTGATCGAGCGTGTAAAACAGGGAAAGGAAATTAGAGGTTGGCCATGTTTGTTGTTTCATATGTTGTAGTTAGGGAAGGTGCGAGCAGTACTGAGGCAGGAGGGAGCCCGGCATGAAGACCATGGGGCTGGAGTGAGAAAGTGAAGGGGGGTGAGATTAAACAGGGCCTCCGCGGCTGTGCTGAGAAAATGGTTGGGGAAGCAGTTGGGTGTAAATGTGAGGTTGCTTTTTGTTTTGTTTTGTTTCCCTCTTTTTCTTTCTCTGTCCAGAAAGCAGAAGAGCAGACTACACAATTTGGAAAATGCTTCCCTGAAATCTTTGCAATTTGGCCCTGCTGGCTAGGATCAACTTATGAGTCAGGAGAGGGTGAATAGAAAGAACTTCAGGGTGATGAAAAAAATTATGCCTAAAGTCTCATGTTCCTGATTTTTATCATGATTTATAATGTATGGTTTGGGATTGGTGAAAAGTATCGAACAATCTGAAGATTTTCATGATCCATTAAGTCAAATCAGACATCTAATGGTGGTATGTTCTCTCAGGTTTTTGGGGTTCTGTGGTTTTCACTGAGTGAACATAGCAATAATAATGATGATAACCACATGGATGCCTTGCATCTGAATGCCCTTCTCTTAGTGTCATCATTTATTCCTCACAAAACCAAATGGGGTAGACAGGGGGCATATTAACAGTATCATTTGTACATGACGAGGTTGAGGTGATTTGTTGCAAGTCGTATTTGTAGAAGATGGCGAAGCCAGGACTAGGACCAGACTTCATTCTGAGTTCAGTAACCACTGGAACTCATGTATGGTCTGCATGTCATTTTGAAGTGATGACACCATTGGAAAGTGTACATTGAGGGAGAAGTGTCTAGTCTACAAGCATCTTTTCCCTTTGGCAGTGTTGAGCACCATTTCACTGCAAAGCCCAAGTACCTCAACCCATTCTTCTTCTTCAGGTTGAGTTCTGTGCTCATCTGGAAATTATTCTAGTAGTCTGAAAGGTTAGAGGGCAAGTCGAAGCTCCTAACCCCTTGGGCCAGGCGTCTTCCTTCCGATTGTCTTTAGATTCCCCTCACCCTTTCTTCCAGAATAGTAATCAACTCTTTTGTTCTCCTACTTCCAGAAACAAAAAATGAAAACATTAAATATTTCAAACACATGGGTATCAGTTTAGAAAAGTATATTACTCTCGTGCCCGCCTCCCAGTACTTCCCCTTTATCTACATGCTCAAATCTCACTTTTCCTTAAAAAAAATCTGTTGGACTCTAACCCTTTAAATTCCTTCCAGTCTCTCTGATTTTCAAATCCAATGTTGTCTTAAAAAAAAAAATTATTCTCTATCTTCTTTCTTTTTCACCCAGCTCTCTCTTTAATTAATTATTAAATATTGCGATTTTCGATGATCAAACAGCCTTACTCCTTTCGTCCTTGGAGACTGCCCAAGTTTTTGTACCCCTTATCATTTGTATTGACACAGCCTCTCACTGGTGCTTGTCACCAGTTTCTTCCTAATCTAAGCTGTCCACGGGTTGCTGCAGTTCTTCCCAGTCCAAACTGATCATGACAGTCTCCCATACAAAGAAACCTCAGCTGACTCCTCAGGACCTGAAATATGTGGTCCAAATGCCTTAGGTTGGCACACAAGACTCATCACAAGCTGATCCAAACCTCCTTTTCAAGTTTTGTTTCCTCTCTCATCTACCCCTTCCCTTTTTCATGGCTCCATGTAGGTGCAAATGCTATTCCTTCTGCCTGGAAATGCTCATTCATCCTCTAACACCCTGCTCAGGGTCACCTCCTCCCATTCCCCTGTGTGATTTCAAAGTATTTTGATTACACCCCCTTTCAGCAGTCGGTGCCATATGGCAATGCTATTTTTCTCATTATGTGTGCTTCTCCCTGGCCATGCTGTGTTTGGCTCCCTGCCTGGCACATAGTAGGTTCTCCATAAACTTTTCAGTAAATATTGATATGAATAAGAAAATGTAGGACTGGAGTGAACTGGGTAACTTTATTACTTAAGTATCAACACATATGCCCTTTTTTCACAAGGGAAATAAAAGCTCAACTTGACAATAAACGAATAATTTAAATGAAAATGTGTGTGTGTGTGTGTGTACATTTACCCTAGTAACTATTCCCTAAGTGTATTCAACTACTGTCATTTTAACAGCTGCCATGTATGTAAATACTGCAATAAATTTAAGGTTGCAGTTTATGGCATGAAAGTGAAAATGAAAAATCCCAGTGAAACACTAGACTGCAGCAGTATCACAGGCTAAACATTATAGATCATATCACAAGATGTAAAGCCATATAAAGTAGTGAACCTTTTTTGAACTCTGACAAAAATGCACCATTAAGGAACTAATAATACATAGGTTTTATAATGAGAAGATAGAGTATATCATAAACTGTGAATTTTAGTTAACTCTCTTTTAAAGTAAGATAAGTAAAGCAAAATATTCAGTAATATGTGAATTATCACGTCCCCTTATTCTTTTGTATTTCTATTTTGTCTGTAAAAAAGCATGTGCTATTTTAATAATGGGAAAGCAAATAGCATTCGTACATCATGGCAGGCTCTTTGGGGCAAAGAAAAATGAAAGTAATCGGGGGCGGTCCGGGAGCGCCGACGTGCGCCTGCGCGGCGCCGGGACGGCGGGCAACTTGAACCGTCTCCCGAGGCCTGTCTCCGCATCCCTCCTCCCGGCTGAGACCCGAGAGCCTTAAAGGATGGCCTCTTCAGATCTGGAACAAATATGCTCTTATATTAATGAAAAGATTGGCAATATTAAAAAATTTCTGTCTTTAAGGAACTGTGGTCAAGAACCTACCTTGAAGACTATATTAAATAAAATAGGAAATGAGATCATGGTAGTAAATGAACTTCTAAATAAATTGGAATTGGAAATTCAATATCAAGAACAAACTACTAAGTCACTCAAGGAACTCCATGAATCTCTTGAAGAAGATTATAAAGATGTGGAGCATCTCAAAGAAAACATTCCTCCCCATTTGCCTCAAGTAACAGTAACCCAGAATGTTGTTAAAGGATCAGATCTTGACCCTGAAGAACCTGTCAAAGTTGAGGAACCTGGAGCCACAAAGAAGCCCCCCAAAGAGCAAAGACATATTAAAGAAATGCCATTTATAACTTCTGAGGAGTTTAATGGAATTCCTGCGTACATGAAATCCCGCTTAACCTATTGTCAAATTAATGATGTTATTAAAGAAATCAACAAAGCAGTAGTTAGTAAATATAAGATTCTACATCAACCAAAAAAGTCTACTATGAGTACTGCGGTCAGAAATCTCTATCACAGATTCACTGATGAAGAAACAAAGGACACCAAAGGTCATTATTTTATAGTGGAAGCTGACATAAAGGAGTTCACAGCTTTGAAAGTTGACAAGAGGTTTCATGTCATACTGAATATCTTACGACACTGCCGGAGGCTGTCCGAGGTTCGAGGGGGAGGACTCACCCGATATGTTATAACCTGAGGCCCTGTGAGCTTTTGAACCAGCCAGCAGTTGGGTATAGAGGCTATTCCTTTAGTTTTCTTATATGTAATTTTTTAATACATAGTCTTAGCTTTTTTATGATCTTTTCTTGTTTCTTATAAAAGTAAAACTTCTTTAAAATAAAGCATTTCACCCAAAAAAAAAAAAAAAAAAAAAAAAAAGAAAAATGAAAGTAATCAATGGCTAGATGTAATTTTTAGCTGCTTATATTACATATTTTAATTCTGTCAGTGATAAATCTAATTTCTTTACATTCTTTTTAAAATTAGACTATTTCTCCTAGTTTTTAAAAAAATAAACTTAAAAAAAAAAAACAGTTTTAGATTCATGGTAAAATTGAGCAGGAGGTACAAGGATTTCTCATATACCCACTACCCCCACACAGGCATAACCTCCTCTGTTATCAATATACCCCCAGACTTGTACATTTGTTACTGTAGATGAACCCACATGGACACATCATAGACTCCCAGAGTCCATCATTTACATTGGGGTTTACTCCTGGTTTTGTACATTCTATTGGTTTGGACAAATGTATAGTGACTTGTATCTACCATTAAAGTATCATGCAGACTAGTTTCGCTGCCCTAAAAATTTCTCTATGTTTCTTCTATTTGTTATGTCTCCATAATGTTGCCTTTTCCAGAATGTCATATAGTTGAAATCATACAGAATGTAGGCTTTTCAGATTGGTTTCTTTTACATAGTAATACGCATTTAAGGTTCCTCCATGTTTTTTTCATAGCTTGATAGCTCATTTCTTTTTAGTGCTGAATAATGTTCCATTGTCTGGATTACCACAGTCCATCTATTCATTCACCTATGGAAGGACTTCTTGGTTGCTTTCAAGTTTGGGGCAATTACAGTTAACGCTGCCAGAAACAAGTGCAGGTTTTTGTGTGAACGCAAGTTTTTATCTCCTTTGGATAAACACCAAAGTGTGCAATTGCTGGATAATATGGTAACAGTATACTAGTTTTGTAATAAACTGCCAAACTTGTCTTCCAAAGTGGTTCCCATCTCTTCTATCATCTTAGTTAGAGATGGGCTAGTGGCTGGGGTGGTTATGTATGCAGTTCCTTTGTAGCTTTCCTTCCCCCGAGTCAACTAATCTGAGGGTTGAGGGGTTATCTTATTTTAAGTTGATATATTCTTATATGGTAGTGAGATCAAAGATGTTTTATAATATTTATTAGTAACATACATATATTATTTGTCAGTGAACTCTATTCACAAGTACTTGGCCCATTTTCCTATTGGTAAATTACTGAATCGAATGAACTCTATTTATTGACATCATCCTTTGTCATTTTTAGGAAAATACTTTTCCAAGTTTATTGCTGAGCCCTTAATCTTGTTTACAATAGGTTTTGATATATTGTGATTTGATTTTTTTTTTATGCTTTCAAATATACTAATTTTTTTCTCCCTTGGTGATGACTTCCTCTCTCTAAAATCTGGGCTCAGATTACTACTTAAATAAATTATTTCTTTTTTGTATTTTTATTTTTGACACTCATTGTTAATGTATCTGAAACTTACTAGGTTGTAATATTAGGATCTAGCTTGTTTAACCCACTGTCAAAGCACCATTCATTATTGGATTTGAAAATTTTAGTTTTATCAAACAATTTTACTTGCTTTGTTAGATTCTTAAATTATTTTTTGCTTATTTTTGTTTGTGATGGTGACTTTGCCATGTGAAAAATGCTTATTACAATTATTAGGATTTGCTTCTAGAGTTTCTTTTTTATTTCCTTGATCTGCCTTCTATTCTCAAGCCGAGGCCACTCTGCCTTCACGCTATTCTGTCTCATGTTTTTAATAACCAGTAGAGAAAGGCCCCAGCATTCTTATTTTTTAAAAATTTCTTGCCTTTTTATTCTTCTTGATGCTTACAATTTCAAAAAATTTCACTAGGGTTTCCACTATTATAATACTATCTCTGTTACTTAATTTGAGGAAAATTGCCATCTTTAAAACATTAAGACGTTGGAGACCGAAAAATGGCGGCGGAGTGAACGGAGCTACACAGACCGTCTCCCAGAACCAAACTGGAATTACAACTATAACACAGACAAATCGACGGGAAAAACCAACAGAAAAGCAGCTTGCGAGGACCATACAACGAGGGACACTGACTCCATCCCGGTAGGCTTGCGAAGGCGCGAGACGGGGCTGGGAGCCCACGGTCGGCAGCTCGGCAGCAGCCTCAGCTGTAAGCGGCGCCCGCGGGTTACACTCCCAGGCGGCCCCACAGCGCAGCCGGGACTGAGGCTAAAACAGCCACAGCCACTCACCTTGGGCTCCGGCAGAGGGAGGGCAGACTGGACTGGAACTGTGTCGGGACACTCGGGGTTTGGAGGGCTCTCGGAGCTTTGGCTGAGTGCAGCCACTCAGGACGGTGGCCACATTGCTTCTTCCCAGGGCTCTGAGAGAGGCAGCAGCCCCTCCCTCGGAGATCCAACCCCACCCTGTGGGCCATTGAAGTGTTAATTGAGGCTCACTAAGGACCAGCATCTGCCCCACCCTCGTGAAAGCCCCTTGGCTGAGCACCAGAGGGAGTTTTTCAATCAACTGACAACCCAAAACTCATCAATTAACCTAGACTGCTAGCTTCCAGGCAAAAAGCTAGAGGATAACAGTACGTTTCCTGGGCTGGCAGCTTTAACCAGGAAAGTAAGACTTGACAGTGGTGTTCAACGCGGGTCCTCCCTCGCTCATCTAAACACAGGAGAGGGAGCCACAAACAGCAGAACACCAACACCCACAGGGAGAACTTGACAGGCTCCAAAGCCCAGAGTGATAGCTAAAATGGTGAAACACAGAAACAGAAGCCAAATGAAAGAGCAAACCACCTCCACCGAAGATGAGATCAATGTGGAGCAATTAGGCATGTTAACAGAGCTAGAATTCAGAGCCATGATCTTGAGGAAGCTGAACAGCATGAGTAAGGACATAGAGACACTGAAAATAAGCCAAATGGAAATTAAAAACCAACAAGAAGAGATAAAAAATGACATATCCGAAATGAAAAACACATTGGAAGGTTTAAAAAGCAGAGTAGGGGAAGCTGAGGACCGGTTCAGCGAATTAGAAGACAGGGTAGAAAAAATCAACCAATCAGAAAAACAAAAGGAAAAAACTATTAAAAAACAGGAAGACAGCTTAAGAGAACTATGGGACAACTGGAAACGTAATAATATTCGCATCATAGGAGTCCCCGAAGAAGAAGAAAAGGAGCAAGGGATAGAGAATATATTCAAAAAAATAGTGAGAGAAAACTTCCCTAATTTGGTGAAGGAAGAAGGCATTCAAGTTCAAGAAGCACAGAGAGTCCCAAGTAAGAAGAACCCAAACAGGCCCACACCAAGACACATAGTAATTAAAATGCCACAAATTAAAGACAAAGAGAGAATCCTAAAAGCAGCAAGAGATAAGCAACAGGTTACCTACAAAGGGAACCCCATAAGGCTCTCAGCTGACTTCTCACAAGAAACACTACAGGCCAGAAGGGAATGGCATGAAGTAATCAAAGTCATGAAAAACAAGAATCTGAATCCAAGACTACTCTACCCAGCAAGGCTATCATTCAAAATAGAAGATCAAATAAAGAGCTTCCCAGACAAAAAAAAGCTAAGGGAATACATTAGCACCAAACCAGCACTGCAAGAAATGTTAAAAGGACTGCTGTAATTAGCAGTAGAAATGGGAACAAAAATAGAACCACACTAAACAAAAATGGCAATAAATAAGTACATATCAATAATCACCTTAAACGTAAATGGACTGAATGCTCCCATAAAGAGACACAGAGTAGCTGATTGGATAAGAAAGCATGACTCATCTATATGTTGTTTACAAGAGACCCATCTCTCAACAAAAGACTCACATAGGTTGAAAGTGAAGGGATGGAAAAAAATTTTCCAAGCAAATGGAAAGCAAAAAAAAGCTGGGGTAGCAATTCTCATATCTGATAAAATAGATTTCAAAATGAAGACCATAACTAGAGACAAAGACGGCCACTACATAATATTGAAAGGATCTATCCAACAGGAAGATATAACCTTGATAAACATATATGCACCCAATATAGGAGCACCAAAATATATTAAAAATCTTCTGGAGGACTTCCAAGGAGAAATCGACAACAATACAATCATAGCTGGGGACTTCAACACCCCGTTGACAGCACTGGATAGATCCTCTAGGCAAAAAATTAGCAAGGAAACAGAGACTCTAAATGAAGCACTAGACCAAATGGATTTAATAGATATCTACAGAGAATTACACCCCAAAACTACAGAATACACATTCTTCTCAAGTGCACATGGGACATTCTCAAAGATAGACCACATGATAGGACACAAACTAAATCTCTACAAGTTCAAGAAGATTGAAATCATATCAAGCATCTTCTCAGATCACAATGGCATGAAACTAGAAATCAACTGCAACAAGAACATGCAAAGACATTTCAACACATGGAGGCTAAATAGCATGTTATTAAACAATGAATGGGTCACCGAGGAGATCAAGGAAGAAATCAAAAACTTCCTGGAAACCAATGAAAATGAACACACAACAACACAAAATCTATGGGATGCAGCGAAAGCAGTTCTGAGAGGGAAGTTCATAGCACTACAGGCCTACCTCAAAAAACAAGAAAAATTTCTAATTGACTGTCTAACCTCACAACTTAAAGAATTAGAAAGCAAACAAAAAGAAAACCCCAGAGCAAGTAGAAGGAAGGAAATAGTAAAGATCAGAGCAGAAATAAATGACATAGAGACCAAAAAAACAATTCAAAGGATCAATGAAACAAAGAGCTGGTTTTTCGAAAAGATAAACAAGATTGATGGACCCTTAGCTAGACTCACCAAGAAACAAAGAGAGAGAACCCAAATACACAAAATCAGAAATGAAAGAGGAGAAGTAACAACCAACACCACGGAAATACAAAAGATCGTTAACAACTACTATGAACAACTATATGGCAACAAATTCGAC